CTAAACACAAAGGCGATTCTTGGTGGGAATCGAAAATTATTTTAAATTCCGCTGTGCATGTATAAGTAGATTCCCAACAACAAGTTCATCGCCTTTTGGCAAGTTATCAGCCTTTGTGCTCAAATAATTTTAAGAACTAATAAGCTCTCTTGCTTGGGGGAGGCCTCCTAATTTAAGATGATCAGAAATATCCATAGACTCTGACTGCAGTTTTCTTTCTGCTGAAAACAAACAAGTTTCCTTCTCAACCACGACTGCCAAGTTTGGTCCTATTATTACTCCTGGACTATTACTAGAGCTGCAGGCCATACTTCAAGTTGAAGGACTGCAGCCATTAAGATTTCTTTGATCCTTTTGTCTAGAATTTGAAGCATCAGCGTTCTGCATACAATTTTGAGGTTGACGTTGTTTAGAATTTGCCTCAGTAAGAAGCTTAATGTTAATACTTTTGTCTCTCCTACTTCTCTTCCCTGTAACTTGTAGCTTTTCCAAATATGGCTGCAAATCAGGATATTTATTTGATTCTGTGCATTGTATTCCATATACTGTATCGGAAGGTTCAGTCAGCAAATTAGTTGGTGACGAACTCTGTTCTGTAGTTCCACCAACATTTGCTACAAATTCTCTCAGTAACCTCTGAGAAAATGCATTTTTGAATCCGAAAAACTGCATATTACATAAAAGAAAAGAAACAATTAACAATTTATTTGTTTTGCACCCTTCTATAGGCTGATCAAGCAAAATCCAAGTACTTTAGGGGGAATAACAGGATAATTTACCATCTACTCTGGTCTTTGATAGTAAATATTCAAAGTTGTACAGCAACACAAGAACTAAATAGAAACTACGCAACATGATACAATCCAAAACAAGGAAAAGAACAGTTAACTACTATTGGGGCCCTGTTTGGTATGAACTATTTTGACTGATTTGATCACGAAATCAATGAAATCTTTATTAAAATTTATAAGATGTTGGATGAGGAAAGTGGGAAAGTACTGTTATTTTAATACTTGAAAAGTTGAAAAACAATTACTTATTCGCCTGCATAGAAAAGTATTGTATGTACATGTACATAATCCACAGTGGTCGGTTTCAGCATGCACAAATGGTAGCCATGGCCCTAGAAATATGAATTGACACATAAAACAAAAAGGATGAAATAACTAGTGTGCAACAAAGGACCAACTTCAAGAACATTTCTATATTTGATTGCAAATCTAAGAACATAGTTAACCAACTACCTGGTACTTTTTTAAGTTTACACCGATTGAAGTTGGAATAGAAGATCTCTCCAGGAATCAAGTTCTAGATTTCCAATACATCTCCAAGTGTATTTTCATTACTTAATGCTCAAGTGTAAGGATTCTCATATATCATTCTCCACCCTCAGCAAGAATAAAAGATGTACTGCAATACACCTTTGCATTTGATATCATCATATCATCAAACTTTTGATTTTACATACTCCATGAGTAAATATAATGATTTGTTTGCTTGCACTTATTATCAAAACTCAAGCATAAAAGATGTATCCCTTATCAAGTTGACAACTCCAGGATTTTTATTTTGACTTCTTATACAGAGGATAAGAAGCAGTATAAGGTCGAACTATAAAACATCAGCCTAGTCCAATGGTGATATATATATAACTCAGCCTGAGAGAGATTTTCACACCAGAAAACACATGGCAAACAAGAATTATATGTAACTTATGCCTAAAACTTATTTATATGAAAATTATTAATTAAACGTGTTTGATTGATTTAGTTTTCAACCAAGAAAATATTATACTTGTCTATTTTTATTGGTAGGTAGATGAGAGAGGAGAGATAAATAAGAGAGTGTACGAGCGTGTGAATACCCTAAAAAATAAAATCCTACTCCTAAAAATATATTTTCCTCGATTTTGAGGAAAATATGGTCACATGACCAAAAGTAGGAAAATGTCTTCCATGGAACAAATGTCTATCAAACAGCAAAAAAGTAGGAATTTAAATGGAAAAAATACATTTT